AAAGGCCTCACCCTCCCTGGGGAGGTAGGGTGTTAGTTGTGGGGGAAAGGAGGGGAAGGAGAGGGGCCTGGGATTGACACGTAAAATAATTTTCTTTCTAATTTAAATTAAAAAAATTTAAAAAGAAACACTTCCTTAAAAAAAAAGAAACCTACCTCTTTAGGAGTTTTATATCCATCTCGTAGAAAACGACAACAACCATAACGACCCTGGGGACACAGAGAAAAAGGCCTTGAAGCTTGAACATCTGTATGACTCTATAATTAAGTAGAAATCCCAAAACACCCCCATATAAAAACCCCCCCCCCCCCCACCCTCCCCAAGAGAGGCCAAGCAGCAGCAGCAGCAGCAGCAGCAGCAGCAGCAATGTCCTTTCAATCAAGAAGTATGTTGTAGGTCCTTCCCCAAAGCAGCATGCCTAGCAGTATCTTCTTCATGACTGTCCACGTTAGGCCAAACCTGCAACAAGCTAAATACTAATCTGCACAGTCCTTTTCACAGTACACATGGCTACTAAGAGACCATAGCTTATTTTTTAAATGTTTTAAAAATTTTGAGAATATTTTAGATTTACAAAGGTTACAAACACTACAAGTCTCACTATACTCATCAAATCTGATCTCCTTATATTAACTTAAGTAATTACAGAACATCCATCAAAACTAAAAAATTAACTTTGATATACTAATATTAATTGAATTATAAAAACCTATTTAGATTTCACTGGATTTTTCATCTCTGTCCTTTTAAATTCTATTCCAGGATCCGGTTCAAATCCCACCCTATACAGGGCTCAGGTTATGGTTCGGTATTTTATTTATATAAAAAGCTTTGCTCACTATAAATTCATGGACCTTAAATCATTGCCAGATTCTTTGCAACCTTAGCATTCGGGCATACAACATATAGATTAAGAAGCTGGTGTTTATAATAGATGTGGACAAATGAGTAGACCTGAGTATTTTCAGCTATCTAAATGAACAAAAGGGATAAAAATTAGAAACATTGAAGTTTATAACCTTGCTCTGCTCTAAAAAGTGCTATTTACTTTGATTTATGCCCTCATTGGTTCCCAGATACAAAACTACACTGTATTTGGTTGGCATCAGGGCAATATTTGCTGGTGGAGGAGAGAGAGCCCAAAGGAAACATAATTTCCTGTTTAGACTGTGGTTTGGCAGAGGACAGTTGTGGCAGAGACACTATGGCTATTTGGCAATTACTTACTCCTTACTAAAAGCTTCTCTTATTTTCTACTCTCTGCACATTATCCAGTTGTGGGTCTCTGTATTAATTACCATCTACTGCAAGAAGAAATCTGACATAACCATCTTTTTTAGGGGGAGGGGATGTCTGAGACAAGAGTCTCTCTGTGTAGCCTTGGCTGTCCAGGAACTCAATATATAAAACAGACTGGTGCTGAACTCACAGAGAATTGCCAGCCTCTGCCTCCCATGTACTGGGATTAAAGGTACATTCCATCATACCCAGCCACCCCCTGACTTTTTGAGCTCTTCACTTTCTAAAGATGCTTCGGATCTTTTGTATCTTCCCTAATGTGATCCTCAAATCAACCATTTATCAAGGATTCCTGATTGTTTTATTTTTATTAGAAAATTATTTTACATGTCAATTCCATTTCCCTCTCCCTCCCCAACTAACAGCCTACCTATCCTATATGCTTTCTGCTCCCCAGGGAGGGTGAGGCTTTCCAGAGGGGGTCTTCAAAGTCTGTCATATCCTTTGGGATAGGGCCTAGGCCCATCCCATGTGTCTAGGCTCAGGGAGTATCCCTCCATGTGGGATGGGCTCCTAAAGTCCATTCCTACGGTAGCGATAAGTACTGATCTACTACAAGAGGCCCCATAGATTTCCAAGGTCTCCTCACTGACACCCTCATTCAGGGGGGTGTGGATCAGTCCTATGCTGGTTTCCCAGCTATCAGTCTGGGGACCAAGAGCTCTCCCTCGTTCAGGTCAGCTGTTTCTGTGGTTTCACCAGCCTTGTATGGTATCTAAAAACCAAGATCTGGACAACCTCAACACACAGATTAGTATGCATCCCTATATTAAACTCTGTTTCTGTCTGTCTGTTACTGTATATCTCTCCTACTCTCTCTCTCTCTCTTCCTTCATCTTTCTCTTCCTCTCTCCCCCAACACATGCAGGCATGCAAGCACATAATCACACACTGACACATTCACAACAATAACTTCTACTTTCATCCAGCATAAAAGTTCATTTTAACTTTCCCCATGCCCTATTTGCAACATCTTTCTTCAAGAGTGAGAAAACCTAATGGGCAAATGTCGTATTTTTTGCTCAACCCCTTTGAGAAACAATTTTATTAACTAGAGCAGGGGTTTGCCAACTTCACACTACAGGGACAGAAAATGAATACTTCTGGTTTTTCAGACTATGTAGCCTCAAAACTACAGAGCTGCTATTTGAAAGGAACAGTAAATGGTATAGAAACATGGCTGGATTAATAAAACTTTATTTACAAGGGTAACTTCCCAGTCCACAGGATGTAGTTTTCTGACCCATAAACTAGGGTACAGTGTTTATATATGGTTAGTTTTATATTGGGTTTACGGTGTCCAGTCAGAACAGTTTTACAAGCTTCAGGTCATTTCTTCTTCACCCTCTTCAATATGGTTATTCATTTGTAATGCATTTAAGAGTCACTTTCTAGTCTGAATTTCACTTTTTTTTAAACCACATCATGGTTGATACTTTAAATTTACTTTTTGTAGTATACAATTTCATGAGAATTGTCAAACACAGTCCCTGTTTACCATGACAATTGTCCTGTCATGCTCAAAAATTTCCAAAACTATATGTTTATATATAGTTCAACTTCTTTTACTCACCAATTGTTTTCCTCCCTTTGGTTTTCCCCTTTTCAGAGTATCATATTAATGGAATCATACAGTATGCATAGCTTCTGTGATCTGGTCTTTCCTTTTAGCAAAATGTCCTTAAGAATCAGACCCTTTTCCTCCCACTGGATTGCCTTGTCTAGCCTTGATGCTTACTCTTATTGCATCTTTTTATGCCATGTTCAGTTGTTATCACTGTGGGGCCTGATCTTTCCTGAAGGGAAACAGATGGGCAGTGTGTCTGGGGGAGAGGGGAGGTAGAAGAGATAGAGAGGGAAGGCTGTAGTCAGGTTATATATTAGAGAAGAATGAAAAAAAGAAAAAAATCATTCATACTATCTCAGAGATTATTAGCTTATTCAATAGGGATATAATAAAATTTATTTATTTGTTTCTCAGTTGAAGGCTGTTTCCAGATTTTTGCAATTATGGCTGAAGTTGCTATAGACATTTGTGAGTTTTTGTCTGAGTGTGAACTTTCATTTTTTAGGGTAGATACTTAGGAGTAAGGATGTTTGTCATATCATACAATACATATTTGTTTAAATTTGTAAGAGTATGCCATCTGAAGCCAGGCAGCGGTGGCATGCGCCTTTAATCCTAGCACTTGGGAGGCAGAGGCAGGCAGATCTCTATGAGTTCAAGGCATCTGGTCTACAAAGCTACACAGAGAAACCCTGTCTTGAAAAAAAAACAAACAAAAAAGACAAAAAGTGTATTCCATCTGTTTTCCAAAGTGGATGCACCATTCCCAACAGTAATGGCTGCTTTTGAAAGTTTTGTAGAAAAACTACTTACAAGAGTATCACTTGGGAATAGGCAAGGTTCCTTGAAATTCCTGGCATATGTTATACTCAAAGGCCCTAAAATCACTAATCTTCCTTTAAAGTCCCAGCCCTAAAGAGAGGAGGCATACGTGGCTGAAGCTTGGTGATGATCTCCTGTTTGGTGAGTTCCACCAAATGGCTGTCCTCTACAGCAAAGGCTGGGAAAGAGATCACTGAGAGCAGACTGGCATCAACTTCTTTGGATGTTGAAGCACGGGGCAGTAGTGAATTCAGGATTGACTAAGGAAAGGTAGCAAAATATGGTTTAATATTTAATGCCTTGGCTAAGAGGTGAAAATAAGAGCTTTGGTTCAAAAAGATTTATGTGGAACAAGAAACTTCCTGAAGAATATATTATTCTTAAGAATAACCCAAATTTTATTAAATAGTGAGAGCTTAAAAAAGTAGATTGTTTGGTATGGAATCCCTTTTCTTAATCCTGTTCTCAGTGCTTCCCATTCTGATTGGAAAGCAACTACTCACAGATAAAGAGTCTAACATCTGTGGGTTACACACAATCCTGTTGGTTCCTTAGCACCTAGGTAAGAATAAAGCTGAGGCTAGAAAGATGAATCTTTGGTTAAGAGCACTGGCTGTTCTTACAGAAGACTGGGCAGCTCACAACCATCCATAACTCCAACACCTTTTTTTTGAACCTATGGGCACCAGGCATAAATATGGTGCAGACAACTCAGGCAAAATCCCATACATATAAAATAATAAAATTAAGACAATGTGTAGCTTCTGGGAAGAGTAGAGAAGGATCAACTATGCCTCTAAGATATTCTCAAATTAATTTTCTGCAAGTGTGTAAAATAATGGGCTTCTTTATATTTTCAGACATGTATATCATTGCATTTTCTCACCCCATACTTTTCTGGGCCCCCACATTATTCCTGCTCCCCCCAAAAGCTCCCTTCTTCTTCCATGACATATTTTATCCACAGAAAATGTTTTAAAAATCAGAAGTTGAATTTATATTCATTAGTATACCACAGGATATAATCAAGTTTGAAGAAAAGCAGAAATTTCACATACCAGAGAAAAGAAACTTTCAATGCAAGCAACAATCATAAACAAAATTAAGGATGAACTTTTACCACAGTATCAGTCTAATGTCCAAATATCTAACCAGAAGACAAAGAGGGACAAGAGAATGTTTCAGAACCACTATCCAGAACACTTAAAACATATCATATCTTCTTTCCTTTTATGTTTACAAAAAGTGATTCTTGGAAAAAGAAACCAGAGGCACTTGATAAAATAGCAGTGGATAACTGGATAGGCTACGGTGGATTGATTTTATAATTTTAACTGAGACAAGAGGACCATTGTGGGGGTTTGAAGTTTCAGATGCCCAAGCCAGTCCCAGTGTCCTATTCTGCCTGCTGCATTTGGATCCAGATGTGGAACACTCAGCTCCTCTCCAGCACTGTGTCTGCCTGTGTGTCCCCCATGTTTCCCACCATGATGATAATTGAACTAAACCTCTGAAACTGTAAGCAAGCCCCACTTAAATGCTTTCCTTTATAAGAGTTGCTGTGGTCATGCTGTCTTTTCAGAGCAATAGAACACCAATTAAGACAGAAGTTTGTACCAGGGAGCAGGGTATTTCTGTGACAGGCCTGACTGTGTGCTGCTTGTTGATGGAATGTAGACTTTGGGATTTTGGATTAGGAAAGTAGTTGAATACTTTAAGTTGGGCTTAATGTACCATACTAGTAGGAACACAAAAGACAGTGGTGCTGAGAGCAATGTAGATCATGAGGGCCTGGCTCAAGGTGGTTTCAGAGAAGAGGAATATTAGTAAGTACCTAGAGAGTGTTCTTATGATATTTCGGTGAAGAATGTGGCTGCTTTCTATCCTTGTCCAAAAGTCTGCCTGAGGCTAAACTGAAGAACTTTTGGATTAATGGTGTTGGCAGAGGAAATTTCCAAACAACCTAGCATAGACTCTTTTGCACGGTTATTAGTGGTCTCTCTTATGCACATATAATGAAAAGGGGCAAGTTAATTAAGGAAAAGTACAAAACGTATAGTTTAGGGTGAAAGGGAGGTACCAGGAAGTATAATGATGCTAAGTTCAGTGCTAAGGAAGATAAAAAGCTATAAAGGGAGACTGGAGAGATGGGTAGCGGTTAAGAACACTGGCTGTTCTTCCAGAGGTCCTGAGTTCAACTCTCAGCAAACACATGGTGGCTCACAACCATCCATAATGAAATCTGGAACCCTCTTCTAGCCTGCAGGTGTACATGCAGGCAGAATAACATACATATTTTAAACAAACAAAATAAATAAATAAAGTTTTTTGAAAAGCTAAAATAAAGTCTGATACTAAATAGAATAAAGGGAGTGGTGACCGCAGGGGAAGAACCTACCCAGCTAAGCTTCCAGGTTGTAAAAGGGAATTAAAGAAAATTTTAAGCAGTGGAGGAAACCACAGAAAACAGAAAGCTGATGCAGATGTAATTGAATGAGGTGTTCCAGCCCCAGCAAGCAGCAGAAATAGGCAGTTTCAGCTACATGGTTCTGGCTTAAGAGCCAAGGACACAAAAAAGGGGTTGTGGAATCTTTCTCCATGGCTAAGAAAAGCCACTGAGGCCAGACACGTGTCAGGGGTGTCCCTGAATGGAGGCCCAGAGAGGCCATTGCATGAAGCTGTGAAAGTGAAGCCTTGATTACCTTGGAGACCCTAAGATGTTGGAGGTGCCAGAGCCATGGATACCTGCTAAGGAGAATTGTTAACAGGGAGTGGAACCAGCTCAAGAGAGAGAAGTGTGTTGCAGTCAACAAAGCTCATAGTATCTGAAGATCTGAAGAGCATTTTGACACCAGACATTGAGTTGCAGAGTTTGGAGTTTATCCAGCTGCTTTTTGGTCTTGCTTTGGTCCATTATTTCCTCACTATGCTCCATTCCCTCCATTTTGGAATGGTAATGTATATTCTGTGCCATTGTATGTTGGAGGCATGTGATCTGCTTTTTTGTTTTGATTTTACAATTAAGAGATTGCCATGAGTCTCAGAAGGGATTTTAGACTTTGGACTTTCAAACAGTGTTGTGACTATTATAGACTATTGAGATTTTTGAAGTTGGACTGAATGCATTTTTGCAAGCCTACGGGGACCAGGGAGTGGATGTGGTGGTTTGACTAGGAATGGCTCACATAAGCTTATATTTTTGAAAGCCTGGTCAGCAGGGAGTTGTACTACTCAAAAGAATTAAGAGGTGCGGCCCTGTTGGGGTAAGTGTCACTAGGGTAGGTTTTTGGGGTTTCAGAAGGCTAAGCCAGTCCCTGTTTCTCTCTCTCCCTGTTGCCTGCAGATCCAGAAGTAGAACTCTCAGCTCCTTTTCCAGCACCATGTCTGCCTGTGTGCTGCCATGCTTCCCACCATGCTAATAATGGACTAAACTTCTGAAACTGTAAGCCAGCCCCAATTAAATGCTTTTTTAAATAAGAGTTGCTGTATTCATGGTGTTTCTTCACAGCAATAGCACATTGACTAAGACAAGCATGCTCTCTATCTTATAGCTTATGCTAGTATCAGGTTGATCTTAGTATCAAATGGTTGATAAAGACATTTCTGATCCTGTGGTAATAATCACATGATGGACTGCTCTCTTTAAGGGTAAGCCTGTTAACGTTAAGCTCTCTTTAAGGTTAAGTCTGACTCTGGGCAAGAATAAAATTTGCTATAACATGGTCCATTATTTCCTTACCTGGCAGTGTTGTACTTCATCAGCCAGGACATGAATAACTGATTGCGGCCCACCTTTCACACCAAACAAATCTAATTCATCTAGTGCTTCCAAGGCTGCCTGTAAGAAACAATGGAAGAAAGGACAGCTTCAGTGGCAGAACACACATTTAGTATATGCAAGGCCCGGGGTTCAATCCCCATAACTGAAAACAAAGAAAAGAAAATCAAGAATGATATATATTCTATTCTTCCTAGTATCTTATTAATGTTACGCTGTGTTGCTTTTGAATATATTTAATGGAAAGAAAATAAAATAACATCCTTTATTCCTAGAAGCTTATGATTTTTACTTTGTTCCCATACCATCCAAGGGAAAATTAAAATTGAGTTCAGATCACTATCCATTCAAGCAGCATACTTTAAAAACTCAATTTGGACATGGCTTATCAATTTTAGGAAATCATTCCTTTGACAGGGAAGCTCCAACTAACACATAGGAAACGCTAAACTGCATACACCTTTAATCTATCACCTAGGAGGCAAAGGCAGGTGGATCTCTGAGAGTTCTAGGCCAGCCTGGTCTACAGAGGGAGTTCCAGGACAGCCAATACACAGAGAGAAACCCTATCTTGAAAAACAAACAAATAAAAAACCCCAAACTCCAAAAAGCTAAACATGGACATAGTCAGACCCTGTCTTAAAAAACAGAGAAAGTAGGGGAAAAATGAGTACATGTTAAAAAACTGGGTGGCTGCAAGATAATCCAGGAACTATTGGGCACTCACTCATAGCTGAGTTTCCATAGAGAGTCAAATGCCCTATAAAGATACTATATTCAACTTTTAAACAAATGTTATTAGTTGGCAGTGCAGAGGAGTTTTCATTTCTTAAAAAATACACAATGTGTGATCCCACAGAGTGACAGATCTGCAAAATTATTCCTCATTTCTACCTAAATGTTTGAACCCCCTTAATCATTTCTTTCCCTTCTCTTTATCCCAGTCACCATCACTAGATTTTATTTTGGGAGGTTGATTTTCTAAAGTTTAAATAAAAGTAAAATCAAGCTTTTAAAAAAATTACCAAGTGTGAGGGCATGGGCCTGTCTGCATCAGGAGGACTGGAAATTTGAAGGTATCCTGAGCTATATTGTGAGATCCTGTCTCAAGAGAATTTTTAGACATTATTATTTTTTGCTTTTCTACATGTGTTTTCTGATCACAAAAGTAAAAATACTTTAATTTTAAAAGAATGTTTATTTATTTTGTGTGCACTGGGGAGGGGCATGCTCACAGAAGACAGAAGACACCAATAAGAGCCAATTCCTTATTCTACTACCATGTGGGTTCTGGGACTTGAATTTAGGTCATCAGGCTTGGTGGCAAGCACCTCTACCTGCTAAGCCAACAACTCATCAACCTGTTAATATTTCCTTTAATCTATATGAGCATTTATGTGTTTATGATATGTATGTGTGAGTTCAGGTTTGTGCGTGTCACAGTGCATATGTGAAGGACAGAAGACAACTTGTAGTATGGATTTTCTTTACCTTTACATGAGTTCTGGTATCAAAGCCAGGTGACTAAGGTTGCATGGCAAGCACTTTTACCCATGGAGCTATCTTATTATCCCACTGTTAATATTATTTATGTATTCTATTAGTTTTTCACCTTTGGTAACATGCTTTGTAAATGTTTTTTTGCTGTAAAAATTAATTTTTTGAGACATAGTCTCATGTAGCCAAGGCTGGCCTCAGATACACATAAGCCCAGGCTGACCATGAACTCTGGTCCTCTTGCTTTTGCATTCTAAGTGGCAGAATTATTAGCATGCACTATTGCTTTTAGCTGTATTTTACTTTTTATAATTAATATAGAATATAAGTTTTTTCTTGTTATAAAAACTCTATTTTGGCATAATCTCTCATATGCCTGTAATAAAATATATTTAGCCATTTACCAACTGTTGCAAATCTAGGCTATCTTCCATTTTGTTATTGTAGGAATAACACTTGCCAAATTGCAATTGTTTTGAGGTCATGGATGGTGTGTCTAACACTACCTAGCACACAGAATGGCATATAGCAGGCTCACTGTTAAGCTAACAAATATTTTATTTGTTTTCATTTTGAAATATGTAAGCATTAATTTCTTGAAGTAGAACCAGTAGATCAAAGGGTGTGGACAGCTTTTGAGATACAATGCTAATTTGCTTTTTATGTATATTATACCACTATAACTTGTCACTAGCAGTATATGACAATATTCTTCTTAATATAAAATATTTTAATTTTTCTACTTTGATTTTATGCTTTTTCATTCACTTGCTTTAAACTGCCAATAAGGTTAGTTATTACTGATTATCTGTATTTCCTCAATTATGAGGTCAACCTGACGTCTTGGGAACACGAAGTAGCTGTGGGTGGCTTCCCTGGAAAACTAACATCTAAACTCAGAGACCTAAATGACAAGTAGAAGTTGAACAAGCACATAACACTTGTTAACAAAAAAGGAAAAAACAGCAAATTTAAAGTAGATTAAGCTAGCAGGCAGCACTTTAATGAAGTGATCAAAGACAGAAGCAATGGTAATGTGACAAATTTATACCATGCATTTCCTGATGACAGATGAAGGATACAGCAGTGCCATTGTGATGGTCTCCCTAAAAACACATAATGTGAATCATGAAGAAATACCACACAGAATAAAAGTACTAGTCTGGAGTACATAGAATAACCAGTCTAGAGTTGGGTAGCAAAAAGTGAAGGTTTGGGAAATACAGAGTGCATTTGCACCTATGTAATTGTTGGAAGGCAAAGGCAGGATTAGTTCAAGATTACCACCAGCAGTATACTGAATTCAAGGCCTGGTCTAAGAGATACTACCACAAACAAAAAAAAAGTAAAGTGAGTACTATAGTCACAGCTACACTAGTAGTAGAGTATATAGGCAAAAGACTCCAGCCCTAAGACCAAACCAAACCGATCTACCAAACAAAAACTAGTCTTTATTTTAAAAAAATGCCAGTGTCATCAAAGTCAAGAGTATAAAGTATTGTTCTAGACTGGCTGAGCTAAAAGAGATGTTATAACAAAATGTAACTTATTATCCTGGTCTGGATACTGTGTCGCAAGGATTTTTATTTTATCATAAATGACATTATTGGGATAATTTTTTTAAATAAAACAAATATGCTCTTATTTGGAGTTTGCTGTTTCACAATGTTTGCATTAAATATCTCTTTATGTAATTGTATCTGTTTGTCTTGTATTTATAATATATTTTGTTTTTTATTAATTGAAACTTCATTCCAGACTACATTTTCTCATTACAGGCTGTGTCAAAAGTCTATCGTGACCCATTTGTTCTCTTTATTCCATATAATATTTTTTGCTTTGCATTGTATTTCATTTCTTTATGTTTTTTAGACTTTACCTAACTTACTTTTAAACTTTCAGTATCATTATGATATAAAAAGTATATACTGTATTTACTTCTTTCTTTTTAAAAAACAATCTGCATCTTTCCTAAACATATAGTAGGAGTGATTGAGCCATGCACACTTACCATAATAATGTTTGAGTTTACTCTGTTTATAAATTCTTACTATTTATAAATTCTTACTCTTTCTAGAGAAAATAAGAGCTAGTAGTAGAATGAAACGACATAGTCAAGTGGAAAGGGAGAGTAAAGGGGATGGATGACTCAGAGATTGCCATCTGATACCAAGCTTGATGGACTGCACTACATCAGGGAGAAAAAGCTTCTCTTAATTTATGCAATGGCAAAGATGGTGAATATAGTTTTAAATTTGTTGTCTTTGTAGGATACATAAACAGAGACATGCCACAAAAGCCATATGATATAAAATCTGGAACTTACTACATTTTAATATTATATATCCATAGTTTCGTGGAGGAATTTGAATTCTGTCTGTGGTTTAAAAAACAATTTGAGGGGTCCACATGTACACTAAAGTTGCATCTGTGACAAAGGTAAACCAGACTCCATTAACCAGACTTGGTAAAAATAAGAAAGAAAATGTACCTTGGCCATTCCAACTGAACTCGCATTCAATTCTGAGATGCCTTGGTTGGTCTTGTCTCCACGTTCCCATATCCCAAAGTCCTGACATAAAATAATCAAGATATAACTAGAAAATCATAATCACTAAACATTCACTAGATATGTAATCCTTAAATAAGAAATAGCAATAGTAGCAAATTTTCTACACACACACACACACACACATGCGCACACACAACTCCGTAGTGACATTAAGGAGCTGACAATGACTTAAATTGGGGCCTCTAAGAAGTTGGGAGTCTCTTCAACACTTAATCAAGAAGTCTAAGAAACAGAGTTTAGTCCATCTAGAAACACTTCTCAAGTTTTCCCCAAAGCAGATTCCCATAAACTCTAGCACATGGAGGCTAAACAGTAGCTGGTATTTTATGTCAAATACTCATTCTAATTTTATTCTCTTGGTACTGAAAGTGTACAATACATGCATTATCTCCCTTAATCCTTACATTTCACAGATGATGAAACTGAGTTACAAAAAAGACAGTAACTCACCCAAGGTCATATAGTTGATAAGGGACAAAACCAAAAATAGATTCTAAGGAATTTCACTCCAGAACCTACTCTTAGCAGTAACTGTACACATCCCCTTGGTAATAGAAAAATATTTAAAATTACTTTTCAGACCTTTTTATTTTTGAAATAACTTCAGAATTACACAAAAATTACAAAAATAGTACAGTGAGTACCCTAACACCTTTCACTTAGTTTTGCCTAATGTTAACATTGGACATAACCACAGTACAATTGTTAAAGTTAAGAACTCAACTCAGTTAACTAATTGAGTTAACTATGGACTTCATATGCCTATACTTTCCCAAAACTGGGATTACAAGCACATAGAACCATGCCTGACTACCAGTAGCCTTTTATACTTTCCAAGACTCTTTGTCATTCCTACCGTGACTCCTTAGTGATTTCCAATCAATAATGGTTTCTCAAATCTTGTCCCTTGTGACCTTGACACTAACTTAAAAACTAGCCAAATAAAATTCATAGTTTGGTTAGTACTGGCTTTTTCCATTTTACTTTCTCCTTTTTAAAGAATACATACTTTGAGAGACATTTCAACACCATATAACTATCACCAGATGGGACTACTCATGGTTGCAGTACTGAGATGGTACCTTGTCTCAGAAAAACAAGTTAAAGATCATGCAAATAGCCTGTTTCTTCTTAAATGGCCACCCACTGCTTCAGCATTCCTCCTAATTGCTTACAGAAATAACTGCTGTGCTGTTTTAGTCATAACTTTCATCTATTTTCCTTATTACTTCTATGGTCATTAATTGTAATCCTTCTCCAAAGAAGACAGTTCACTATCCCTTGCTTTTTGCTCCTTTTCAATTGTTTTCATTTGTTTATTGATGTGTATGTGCATGTGTGTATGCTCATTCCTTCTATTTCACATATGTGGCACTCATAGGACAACTCTCTAGAATTAGTTTTCTCCTACCTTTACACGTGTTCTGGGATTGAATACAAGTTGTCAGGCAAGCACTTTGTCATCTTGTCAGCCCTTTATTCAGTTATTAATATTAGTATATCTTTATGGATATTTAGGATTTTGCTGGTTTATAATGGAATACTGTCACTGTTTTGTTGCTTACACTGTTAATTGTTCAGGTAGGCTCCTGTGCCTTTTTTATATTTGTCTTATGCACTTTTGACATTCCCTGTTCCTCACTGAGCACTTCTGCAGTGTTTGGCACTACAAGATGCCTCAATCTCATCATTAAAAATGTATTCCGCTGAGTGTAGTGGAGCACACTCTTAATCCTAAAACTCAGAGGCAAGCAGACCTCCAAGTCGGAGGCCAATCTGGCTTACAGAGTGAGTTCCAGAATAGCCAGTGCTACAAAGAGAAACACTGTTTTAAAACAGAAAAGAAAACGATTCAATAAATCAAGTCAGAAAATGTGCCAAGTTTAGAGAAAGAGTTGGCCATGTAGATGCAGGAGACATTTAGAATGCCAAACAGACAAGACCAGAAAAAACCTTCTACATTATATTATAGTTAAAATATTAAGTATACAGAACAAAGAACGAATAGTGAGAGCTACAAGAGTAAGGTGCCAAGTTACATATAAAGACAAACCCATTAGAATACTAGATTTCACAACAGAAATTATAAAAGCCATAATGGCATGGAATGATATACTTCAAGTTCTAAAAGATAATAATCACCAATCTGGATTACTATATACAGCACAAGCTAACCTTACAGAATAGAGAAAAACTTTCCAGGAGAAACACAAAGTAATTTACAACCACTAAAACAGCATTACAGAAGTCTGAAGGAATTCCATACACTGAAGAAAAACATAAGTACAGTCATGAAGTCACAAGAAAGACTATATACTAGAACAGTGAATAAGTAAATGGGAGGAAAATATAAAAATGACAAGAATTAATATACACCTTTCAATAACTCTTAATGCTACATGGTTTATGGCTATATGAATGTTTGCATTAAATAATCAAACGTCCCAAATAAGTAAGCTAATAATGGAATCTCAAAATCTTAAATAAGAAAGTAACAAAATTCAATAGATTTAATAAGGAAATAATAAAAATCATGGAAGAAAATAATAAAGATCAGAGAATAAATAAAATCAAACAAAAAGAACATTACAATCAATGGAATTCTATTTAAAAACTAAACACTGCCTCTCTATTGCTTGTATATAGGAAGGCTACTGAATTTTTTTAGTTAATCTTGTATCCAGTCATTTTGCTGAAGGTCTTTATCAGCTGGCTGTGGGAGTTCACTGGTAGAATTTTTGGGATTTCTTATGTATACTATAATATCATCCGCAAATAGTGATACTTTGACTTCTTCCATTCCAATATGTATCCCTTTGAAACTCCCTGGAATCAGGGTAACCCTAGCAAAGACTCCTAGTAATGGGGGATATGGGGCCTGAACTGGCGATCTTCTGTAACCAGGCAAGGCTTACTGTGGTGGGACTGGGACATCAACCCAGTCACAAAACCTTGACCTACAATTTATCCTGCCTGCAAGATATGATGGCGTAATGGCCATGCAGAACTTGTAGGAGTGGCCAACCAATGACTGGTGTAACTTGTGCCCATTGCCATGAGAGTGAGCCCATGCATGACACTTCCTGGATGGCCAGAATTTGGAAGCTCGATGGCTCAGAAACCTAGGGTAGAAACAAACACAACTGACAAAGTTGCTAATGACATTCTGCAATACGCATAAGGATCAGTGCCTAGTCCAATTGTCATCAAAATGGCTTCCTCCAGCAGTTGATAGGAGCAGTTACAGAGACCCACAGCCAAACATTAGGTGGAGCTGAGACCTCAGTAGAAAAGGGGGAGGACAGAGCCAGAGTGTGGACTATTCCTTTACACTGTGTAAATACATGTTGCTGTGATTGGTTTAATAAAGAAGCTGACTGGCCAATACTGAGCAGGATAAGGTTAGGCGAGAGAAACAGACTAAGGACACTGGGAAGAAGAGCAGAGTCAGAGGACTTGCCAGCCAGACATGGAGAAGAAACAGGAGGTGCAAGATGTGAGAGGTAATACCATGAGGCAGAATGTAAATTAAGACAAATGGGTTAATTTAAAATGTAAGAGTTAACTAGTAACAAGCTTGAGCTATTGGCTAAGCATTTATAGTTAATATTAAGCCTATTTGGGGTTACTGAGGAGTGGGCTGATGGGACAGAAAAGTCTGCCTACACCAGAGAGGTCAAGGACACTCAAGAACACGGGCCACAGAAACAACTAACCAGGGCTGCACACAGAGCAGCCACCACAGAGCCTGAATGTGTCTGTATCAGGCTCTCTGCATACATGCTGTGGTTGTTTAGCTTGGGGTTTTTGTTGGACTCCTAACAATGGGAGTGAGGGTGTCTCTGAGTCTTTTGTCTGCTCTGGGACCTATTTCCTCCTACTGGGTTGCCTCATCCAGTCTTGATATGAGGGGTCTGTACCTAGTCTTATTGCATCTTGTTATGCTGAGTTAAGTTAATATCTATGAAACTTCATCTACTAAGCATAATGCTTTTTAGATTTATTTATGTTTTTACATGGGTCGATAGTTCATTCTTTTTTATTGTTGAACAATATTAACTTTTATGGAATACTGTAATTTATCCATTTACATACTAATGGACATTTAGATTATTTGAGGTTTGGAAGATTATGAATAGAGAGAGTCTCATTGAACAGCAACAATGAATCCTAATTAGCCTAAAGAAAAACACATTTCTGTAGTATCTAATACAACATTTTATACAAGAAAATATCATAGATGATGAGTTAATATGAACCTACTTTGTATGATAGTTTATAAAGGAAAATCTTTTTGTATAGTAGATTCTAAATCAATGTACCAACAATAAACACATGAATAAATTTTATGTACAGCCAAGTGGCTAATAACATCACTCAGTAATCATGCTTTCTTTTTAAGATTTCAATTAAAATAAGACCATAAGGGGCTGGGGATATAGCTCAGTTGAAAGAGTGCTTGCCCAAGACTCAAATCCTAGTGCCACATAAAACTGGTTTTGGTAGCTCATATCTGTAACTCTAACACCCTCAGGAAGTAGAGGCAGAAGAATCCTAAGTTTAAGATCACCTGCATGTAGTGAGTTCAAGAGAAGCCTGGGATAGAAATGCTCTACTAAAATACATTAAATTAAAACAGTAATATAATAAGATGACTACAATTTAGTCTTAAGATTGCCAAGTATGGAATTTGAAAGAAATGAAAGCATAGTATTTGGACCCTCTTTATCTCTGTTACACATTGGTGAGAGGGCAAACAGGGGAATGAAAATCTTAGTAAAGAAATTGAAAATGGTTATGTCAGGAGTCTTTTTGATTAGTTTATTACAAGGTTCACCATTATGAGAAGATATGGGTTGCTCAGTGTGTTAAAAATGAAACCATTCTTTAAGTGCATTCTAAAATAAGTACTTACAGCAGTTTTATATGCAGCTTCAATGTAAAACACAAGGTTCTGTATAAAATTGACTTCATCTAGGCTGTGGATGATATGGAGTCCTGAGGGGAAAAGACAGTGTTCTTCAGAGATCACTTCAGGGCCCCAGAAATAATAATGATTCACTGAACTCAGCTTAAACCAACTTTACTTTAATTGACTTGTACTTACCTGTCCAGAATAACTGGCTTACATCATTCTTCACCATATGTTTATAAACATTTTTACTGAGGTAGTCTATCATATAGCTCTTTGATTCCAAGCATATAGTATATTGGTTTTCATTGTGTGTACAGTATATATCCATCACCATAATCAATTTTGGGATATGTTCATCATCACAGAAAACAATTCTTTACTCACTGGACATTCATATAAATAGAAGTGTATCATATGCAGGCTTTATATTAGTGTTTGTTCACCAAAAATAATATTTTGGGGGCCCCTTTGTGTTGTGAGATTCACCAGTACTTCCTTTATTGCAAAAAATATTGAATTGTTTGAATGTACCACATTTTACTTATCAGGTGATAGACATTGGAATGTTTCTACTTTTTAGCTATCATAAATACTGCTGCTATAGAATTCATGTACACTTTTTGTGTGTGAATATCTTGTCATTTTTTCTTGAATATCTACACACTTAGGAGAGAATCTGCTGGAAGCTTCTGAGGCATTACTAGACTGCTCTCCAAAGTGGTTGTATAATTTTACATTACATTTTTCAATTATATTTATTTGTGTGTGTGCATGCCATGGGTACACAAGGAATTCGGAGGACAGTTTGATTCCTGTCCCAAATTCCACCATATGGGTTCAGGTTGTCAGGCTTAGCCCCAACACTTTTACCTGCTGAGACATCTCCCTTGCCCTCATTTTACGTTTCTCAAGGCAGTGGATGAAAGTTCCAATTTCTCCAGACCTTCAGCAACACCTTTTTTTTCTGTATTTTTGATTACTTTTATTGTGGAGTGGCTGAAATGGTTTTTATGGTGATTCAGGTCAGCATTTCTCTAGTGACTGATGATGCACAGCATCTTTTCATGTACTTAATAGTTATTTATATATACTCATTAAAGAAAAATCAATTTAGATCATCTAGCCATGTTTTAAATTTTTATGCATGTGTCTTTGCCTGCATGTATATCTGTGTGCCACATATATGCTGTGTCCATGGGGTACAGAAGAAGGCATCAGATTTCCTGGAACCAGAGTTAGAGATGATTGTTAACTACTATATAGGTGCTAAAATTTGAACCCAGGTCCTCTGGGAGAGCTGCAAGTGCTATTAAATATTGGTCCATCTTTCCAGTCCACTCTGGCCATTTTAAAGGAGGCTATTATTGTTTTTATTTTGAGACAGGGTCTCCCTATAGCCTCAAGACCCACATGCCTTTACCTTCCAACGACTAGATTTAGAAGCATATACCACACCACCACATCTGACTTAATTATGTTGATAATCTTCTAAATAATGAGTTGTGAGAGTTCTTTATACTAGATACAAATAGCTTATATATGATTTGCAAATATTTTCTTCTGTATCTATAGGTTGACTTTACAAAACACACACACATAACACAAATACATACATACATACATACATACATACATACATACATACATTGAGAGAGGGGGTTTATCTTTTTAAATGGGGTCTCACGGATCAGCATCAAATTTGATATTTAGTTGAGGATGACCCTCAACTCTGGATCCTCCTATCTACACTTCCCAAGTGCTAGGGTCACAAATGGACATCATGGGGAACTCTTGGTCCCCAGACTGATAGCTGGGATACCAGCATGGGACTGATCCAGACCCCAGGAACATGGGTTTCAGTGAAGAAACCTAGGAAATCTACGGGGCCTCCTGTAGTAGTTCAGTCCTTATCCCTAGCATAGGTGTGGACTTTGGGAGCCCATTCCACATAGAGGGATACTCCCTGAGCCAAGACACACGGGGGTGTGCCTAGGCCCGATCCCAAAGGACATGATAGACTCTGATGACACCCTATGGAAGGCCTCACCATCCAGGGGAGCATAAAGGATATGTGATAGGTACGGTTTTAGTTGGGAGGGGGTGGAGGGGAGGAGGGGAGGGACAAGGGAACTGGGACTGTCATATAAAACAATCTTGTTTCTAATAAAAAAAAACAATAACAAATGGACATCATACTATACATGGACTATGTTTCCTTTTCTTGGATGGGTTCTTCCAAACATAAATGTTAATTTTGGTAAATTCCAATTACAATTTTTTCTTTTACCATTTATGCTTTTGATATCATATCCAAGAGAACTTTCCTTACTATTTTCTTTTCTGTTCATCTCTTTTTTCCTTTTTTCCTCTCTTTTTTTAAAAAGAGCCTTATATATCCTAAAATGATCTTAAACTCACTGTGCAGTCGAGCCTGGCTTTGAACTCCCAATTCTCTTGTCTCCACCTCTCAAGTGCTAGGATACAGATGTGATCCATCACCCCCCACCATGCTCCTTCTCTTTCTTACTCTCTTTTCAACCTTTGCTCTCTTTCCCTCGTCCCCTTTTCTTTCTCAGACAAGGCCTTTCTATGTATCCCAGGTAACCTCTAGTCCATAATCCTACTGCCTCTGCTTCCTATTTTCTTGTTGCTTTGTGTCTAAATTTTTAGGTTAAAAACTGGGTATTGTTACAGAGTATGTTGTGAGAACACTAAATCCTGATACCTTCTTCTTTAGGGGTTGTTTTTTGCTTATTTAGGGATTTGACTGAACTATTTCAGTAAAGGCTATTCCCCTATAGCATGCAGCCTCAAGTAGTCTTTAGAGGGTATATAGATTTGGGTACATACATTGTCACCCTTAGAAGACAATGTTGCCTCTGTTGGTGTCAAGCTAAGCCCCACAACTGTCTTCAACCAATAGCTCCATTGTTTTGTTGAATCCCCAAACAAACTGCTCCATCATTTTAAACAATTAAACTCAGGCCTTTTCCCTACAATCTTTGAGTCAAATCTCTCATACTTGTTCTCACACCTATAGAAGCAGTCCTTAGCTTTCCTTGGATCTGTTAAAATTTCTAGCCAATCTGTCTTTTAGTTTCTTGCTGTTGTTGAACAATTAACTTCATCTTAATTATTTAGACATGTTTTTAAAAAGACTTACTTTGATGTGTATGGTTTTTGCCAGTATGGATACACCGTGTGCATGCAGTGCCTACTCAGGCCCAAAGAAGGCATCGAATTTCCTGGAGTTACAGAATTGGAGTTACAGATGGTTGTGAACCATCATGTTGGTGCTGAGAATTGAGCCCAGATCCTCTGGAAGAGCAGCCAGTACTCAACTGCTGAGTTGTCTGTCTAGCCCTTCATCTTAATTACTATGAACCAAAATCTACATTGAACTTTCTCAAAAAGTTAATTTCCTTAAGAAGAGTTAAAGGGCTTTGCTTTTACAGTTTGTTTCTAGCCCTCCCCCCAATCAAAATTTCTATGCTGGTGCTCTAGCACTGGTGGAGTATAGTGGTTCATTTCCTTTGGAATGGCACTTCTGTTTTCCACACTAAACTCTGGACAGGAGTTGTAGCTTCTGATCATCCCAGCTTGCATATTCCAGTGTAGGATGGTTGATCTAATCAAGAGGTAGATGACCTATTATTTTCACTCTGCTCTGTCTAAGATAGATTCTACTGCACTAGTGTCTTGGGTATAGAGAACCCCAAAGCTGAACTTGCCTGAACTAGTGCTTCTGTAATACAGAGCTTGAGAGAATGATAAATGATGCCGGCCTATTTTCTGACGAGAATCAGGAACCTTAAACTAGAACAGTGGTTCTCAACCTGTAGGTTGCACCCCCTTTGGCAAACCTCTAGCTCCAAAAATATTCACATTAAAATTCGTAACAGTAGCAAAATTACAGTTATGAAAGAGCAATGAAAATTTTATGGCTGGGGGTCACCACAACCTGAGGAACTGTATTAAAGGATCATAGCATTATGAATGTTGAGAACCACTGGTCTAGAGCTTAGGAGAGAGGAGGTCTTGTATTCTGGCTATATACACCTCAGACATTGCTGCTAGTATCCTGAGTTGGGATAGGAGAGGGTCTGAGACCAGATACCACAGTACCTCACTGCTCTAAATAATTACATTTCTTGCAATGATTCCCTACTTACTGTATATCCCTTTGAGCAATTTCCAACGGCTTCAAAGTGTTGGTTTGTTCTTAAATTTTTAGCATTTTTGGCTGTTTCGCTGGAGTCTATGGAGCTCTTCATGCTACCATTCTATAAAGGTGCAATCAAATTCTATCTAAATCTATCTTCAAGTATTCAAAAACATTGCTAATATTCTGCTAATATTCTAAGATTTTTCACATTCTGTTCACCAATTATATCTAACAAAGTTCCTTTTTAATTCAATTCAAATGCATTATACAAAATTTGTATTATTTCTTGAAAAAGTATTTCACTAACCTGTTTACTAGTCTTTCATCTTAATTTTGTCCCCCATCCAATCTACCTCATCTAATCTATCTTCCTGTTAGTAAGACGAACCACCTTAAAGTCCCTTGATTATCTACACTGAATGGCTCTCTATTGATTGCAGACTATAATTTCAAACTACTTAGCAGGCTATACAAGTCCTCAAATAGCTAGCCCTAACATTCTAGCTAGACATCTAGCCTTACGTCAATAACCAGTGCCTTTCAAACTTCTGTACTATATACTTATTCCCTTCCCTTTCTGAATTATAAATTTTGATTTAGTCATATGTATTTCTCAAAGACTTAACCAAATAATATCTATTTATTACGAGCACCTATCAAGGTCATCTGATTGAACTGAAAACAAATTAAGTTAGGAATCAATAAACGTTTATTTAATGAATATATTTTATGAGCCTTTAAAATATATCTCTGCTTCCATCTGGGGGATCACATTTAAAAACCATTAAGAGTATTTAGTCAGTGCCTGCTTTTTTTTTTTTTTTAAAAAAAAAAAGCTAGGTAGTTGTGGCATGTGCCATTAATCCCAGCACTTGGGAAGTAGAGGCAGGCAGATCTCTGTGAGTTTGAGGCCAGCATGGTCTACAGAGTGAGTTCCAGGACAGCCAGGACTACAGAGAAACACTGGCTCAAAAAATAGTAATAACATAAAATAAACAGCTTCCAGATTGGAATTAAAATATTATTCAAAATTAAAATTATAACTACCATTTTATTAAATGAAATAAACAAATTACATTTATTCTGCAAGAAATTTCTCATCCAAAAGAAGCCTAATTGGATAGCCTGTGGTGATATAGTATTTATGATTTATTAAATCTTGCCTGAGGATTCAGAAGACAAAGCCTGCCTCAAGCTATAGAGACCAGGCAGTGGTAATACACACCTTTAATCCCAGGACTCAGGATTAAAAGGTAGATGGATGATCTCTGTTAGTTCAAGGCCATACTGACTACAGGAGATTGATCCAGTCCTAAAAGAAACAGCTCACACAAAGATGATCTCAGCACTTGGGATTACATTCCTTTAATCCCAGCACTACGGAGGTATGTAAGACAAGAGCAAGGTCTCAAAGATAGCATTAAGTCTGAGAGTTAGTTGCCGAGAGCATAGCAGTCTGAGTGAATCTAAGGAGCAGTAAAGTCAGGGGCAGTCTGAGGATCACACCTTTGGTCTGAGCTGAGGTAGAGGTAAGAGCTAGTGGTTGGCTTCTTTGCTTTGTTGATCTTCAGCTTTAAGCTTGAACCCCAATATCTGTCTCTGGGTCTTTTATTTATCATGCTTCAATAGCCAAAATCATAGTTTTGCAAACAGGTTATTCAGATTCTAGGCTATGTGTTCTAGAAGCCAAAATAAAGAGTTTATCACCAAACATTTATTTGATAAACAAAGAGAGAAGAATATTCTGAAGGGATTCCTACTTTGGGTGCCTTTAGTACCAAGGAACTCTATGGTCAAACAGGAAGACAAAGAAATTGAAATGTCAGAAATGCAGTATTCAGGACTGAGCAGATGGCTTGGCTGTAAAAGTGCCCCCCTTGCAATTATGAAGATTTGGGTCGTGATCCCCAGAACCCACATAAAAGCTGGGCATGCTCATGCACATCTGTAACTCTAGCTTTGGGGAAGGTGAGAGAGAGGCAGATTCCCAGTGTTCACTGATTAGTCAGTCTAGCAATCAGTAAGCTTTGGGTTCAGGGAGAGACCCTGTTTCAAAAGATAAGATGAAAAGCAATGGTAGAAGACACCTGATGTCAACTTCTGACCTCCACACACATAGGCAGACACAGGAACATGTATTTTTATCTACATATGAATGCACACGCTACAGATACACAAGTGTGGTACTAGCTGGATATAATGGTACACACCTATAATCTCAGATAATTGGGAGGCTGATGGAGGACTGAGGCTAGCCTGGGCAATTTAGTAAACCCTCTGTTTCAAAAAATTAAAGAGTTAGGATTTTAGCTTAGTGGTAGAGTGCTTTGCCTAGCATGTGTGAGTCCCTGCGTTGAAATGCCAGCACCACAGAAGAAAATGGTATTGTGAATATATTTACCTTACTCACAATGATCTGGAAATGTTCTTATTAAGTTTAGGAACTGGATATAATAGGACTGCTTCAATTTCTAATTTAACATCTATAAATAAAACTGTGTGTGTTTGTTTTGAGACAGGATACCACTATACATCTTTGGCTGGCCTGGAAGCTGCTATATAGACCAGGGATAGCCTGGAACTTACATCAATCCTTCTGCATCTGCCTCCCAAGTGATATAATTATAGTTAGATGTGAGCTTCCATATTTCTTAGAATTTTCTTTTACATATCAAACATCAAAATATAATCACAAACTACTTACAGATAATTTTGTTTAATAATAAAGCATACATTTAGATTCAGATCACACTCATAAAGAGTATATAAAGTGGTTGGTTCTGTAGCTAAACTAATCACAAGCATATTAGTGTATAGTATGAAAATAAGGAAAAAAATCTTCAACCTTCCTTCCTATTTCCTGGCATCTGATAATTAGTAAATTTAAAAAATGCCTGTTGAAAGATTTAGCCAAGAATCCCAGGTTTCTATTTTTAAAGAGTATTAATTAGTACTGAAAATTTGTTTCTTAATATAGTATAATATTGCTTAGACCTCAAAAACTTATCTAGCTGAGTAAAACTTATAAAATCCCATTATTTCTAATACGCTTCTTTGAGCACTGTAACAATTTTATTTTTTGGCTAATACCTACAGAGAAGCCAAATGAACCAGAGTAGAAGCTCTAAGGTTAGGAGTAAGCAGTAATTCTCTCTGTGTACTGACCTGAAGCAGTCATTTGTGCTAGGAAGAGCAGATACACTGAAGTAGCATCCAATTGCAGGTGTCCCCACTGGTCATCACCCACCACAGTGGCACAGGTTTTGGTGTTGTACTTGGCATGGAGGCTATCCTTAGTACTCTGACTATACTTGAAGGACTCTACTTTATCCACCTGAAAAGAAAACAGTATAAGAAGGATAGTCAGAAAAGTCAATCCATATACTATGTATCTGTAGTGCTATGGCATACACCACAGCACTCCACCTTCCCTAATCCTATCCCTGAGTGGATATTTAAAATATATTGTTACCTGTTTCCCCCTACACTGAGAAAATCTCTTACTCTTAATAAAAAAACAACAAATGGTGAAAAAACCATTTTCTGTTCATTGTCTCTTCTATGCTTTTCAAATGGTTGCATTTCCATATTGTAGAGAAAATGGAAGTTCAAATTATTAATTAGCACATTAGTAAGATAACTCAGCATTACACATTTGTTACTGAAATTAAAGTAGGAATCTACAGACACATTGAGAGAGGAAGATATTTTTATTTTTGTATGTGAGCATAGCAGTTTGTAAGTGTGGGTACACCCAGAGACCAGAAGAAGGCATCCTATTCATTGGAACTAAAGTTACAGGCGGTGGTGAGCCACACAACATGGGTGCTGGGAACCAAACTCGGGTCCTCTGCAAGAGCAATATGTGCTCTTTGTTCAGGTCCTCTGCAAGAGCAATGTGTGCTCATAACTGCTGAGTCATCTCTCTAACTCCAAGAGAATAAATTTTGAAGATGCCATGAAAAGTGTTAATGAGAACCATACAGAGTCACAGAGAAATATTATATAAAGCTGAAATTACAAATTAGAAAGAATCATTGGGGGATGGGGGTATAGCATAGCGGTAATGTGTTCTGCGGGTGTATAAAGCCCTGGGTTCAATTCCTAACACACATTAGAGAGAGGAGAGAGACAGAGCTAATAGTTCCTGACCTAATTCCTGAATTGTAGTTGTGATTATTTATGCCCCTGATGTATAATAACCAGGATATCTTAAATATGTTCATGAAATTTGTGACTATACCAATTTAATAAGACAGAAAGTATAAATGTCTGAAATACAAATGAAGTAGAAAAGACAGAGAAAAATGATATACGTGAACAGACTAGTAAAGACATGTATACAATAATTAATTGTATACACATTTAAAAATCATTTGTAGATAAGTTTAGAAGTTGAAAGTTGGTTTCTTTCTACTTTCACATAGTTAAGTCTGATTAAATATGTATGTTTTAAGATCCTAGAATAAAGGTTTTCTACTAAAATAAGTTTGTGTGGAGAAAATGTCATAAATTCAAAACATAAATGGTAGACTGTAAACATATTTGCAATGTATGTGACAAATGTTTAATATCCATAAGAACTCAACAGGCAAGAAGCATACAACCTGCAAATAAAAACGAGGCAAAGCTCTAGCAGGTAATTCACAGTAAGGGATGCAGATTTTCAATTCATATATAAAAGGATATTCAGCTACACTAAAGTCAGGGAATGCCAATTACTTCAAGATCCCTATCCCCAACCCTAAAATTTAAAACACTTTCACTTTTTAACTATATTTTACATCAAAACTCATTTGGAGGAAACACCAAATTCAAATCAACATAGGGCTATTTATAGACTTTATTCCATTTAGTGTAAAAGGAATGATTCCCCACAAAGAAATGTTTTTATTGTATTTTTCTCCATCCACTGAAGATGTGAGAAATTATATGACACATATACTGTGCTATCTTTTTAAAAATCTGAAAATGTATTACTTCTAGATCTGATCTGGACCTAAGAGTTTAAACAGTTTTAAAAAAATCATTTGTAAAAGGAGGAAAAAGACTGGAAGAAAATATTCCTGTTATAACAAGGTGGTAAGGCTCTGTGTGACATCCCCACCTGAGAGTTCCAAACTTTCTAAAATTAGAGTATACTATTTGTGAATCTGAAAAAAATGCTATAAGCATTATTAAGATGTTGTGATGATCTGTTTTATTAGAAGTTGCTACCAATGCCATACCTGTCTGATCATGCAGTGCAGCAGTCCCCTCATTAACTTCACTACACTCTGCAGAAATAAATGGAAACAAGACTGTTATAAACACACTGAGATACAAGCACACTTACTCAGCAACTTCAGTTGGTACATGACCTTTTGAGAACAAGTAACCCTATCCTGGGTTCTATTTACATGGCATTTACTTTATAGGAACACAGAACAGACTACAGCTAAAAGATGAATCAAAAGTCATAGTTTATGATTCCTTGGATTTAAATAATAATATAAGCCTGGCAGTTTTACCTTTAAAAAGGCCAGCCATCTAATAGGGGAGACTCCATGACTCACATGGCTCTAAGCATCCTCTAGTATATGCCCTACAGTCTCCATGGCATCTTTTTAAATTTTTCATTTTATTTTTAAAGCTTTATTTTCATTTTATATGTATGGACGTTTTGATTATATGCGTGTATATACATAGGGATCACATGCATGCCTGGCATGAGTAGCAAGTATGTTTTAGAATATCACAGCATAGAATAGCTTCTCCAATTCTCTACAAAGCTCTCTGTTTTGCTATCTAGAAGATCTCTTAAATTGGCCGTGTGTTCCACAGACCATATTGTGAGAAAATTTTAAAGTAATATTATGAGGGTGAATATAAAATGAGGATTCTGTTAAGAGAAACAGTGGCATGTTGCTACTGCTTGGTAGAGTACTGTGGTTAGTTTTACTTGGAAAGGTGGGTTTTCAAGCACACAGAGTTTGAAGAATCATAGTATACACAGAGAAAACTAATAAGCAGACAAAAACTTGAGTTTGGACAAGAGTTTGAGATAAGAGTTAAAGGAAGAGATGTGGAAATCATTCTCATAAAGGTAACTGAAAAGTCATGAAAAAAGATGAGAGATAATACAAGAGAATAAAAGAACCAGAAGTGGAGGTTGCCAAAGAGAGATCTTGATTTACCTCAGTATTTATTTTTATAGCTGTGAGATTATATCCATATGCCCAAGAAAGGGGACATTTGTAAAAGTATACTTGTGTATAATTTTATTTCCCATATAGAATATAGAAGTTAGTTAAATCTTCTTCTCATCCACAATTCTCTTCTCAGATTTTATGAGAGAGAAGTTAAAATAAGAGTTGGAAGAAAGAGTATAAATGATAATGTTCGGGGGAAAGCTACACAGTAATGTTGAGTTGGCAATAGGTAGTAATTTAATCTGTGGATTACTGATTTAATTTGTGTTCATTTACTAGTTATAAATCAGTTATTATCTAGGCACATTATTAGATCTGTCTATATTAGAATCTTAAATTGTTTTAAAGTGAAGTCCAGTAAGGATATCTCTGAAAAGCTTTCAAAGCAATCCAATGTACGGCCAGAGTTTAGAATTACTCATCTGGGTCAGGGACAAATCCAACCCATCACTGTTTCTGTAAATAAAGTTTTATTGGACCATCACCATGCTAATTCTTTACATATCATCTCTGGTTCTTTTCTGCTATACCTACAGAGCTGAGTAATTACAGACAAGTGACCCATATGCCAGAAATATATGGGTGGGTTTCTAATCTCCAGTCTAAATTAATGCTGACTTAGGTGTTTTAAAACATAAGACCTAATAATAAAAAAACCTAACAATCAAATTTGTTTTGATTAATAAAACATGTCCATATAAAATTTAGAATTCCCACAAAAGCCTTTCTTTTCTGAAGCTAGTTTCCATTTCCATAATATTCTCAAACATTCTAAAGTTGCTAATATGGTGATATAAAAATACCTTTCAGCTATGTGAAAGGTTATATAATAGAACACCAAAATTTTAGAACTGGCAATTCACCTTTTTCCTCATTTTCCCACTTGGGTTAAATACAGAAACACACCAACTCAGCAGAATGATGGGGCAACAGATTTATTCTAATAATCTTTAAAAGTTTTGATCAAATTATATCAGGCATGTATTTACAGTTCTGCTGATATTAGTTTATAGCAAATCAAAACAAGGAACAAACTACTGATATCAAAATACCAAAACATTCAGGGTTGGATGTAGGACTATGGGTTTGAGAAAAATACTCCTACATCTTCCAAATTTCTATTTTGGCATTATTTCTACAAAAAGTCTGTACTTCCTAGGATAGAGCAAAAATTCCAACACTTTTTTTTAGCTCTCAGTAATGGCTTGAAAGAATTACACAAATGCCTGCTGTTGCTGATGATGACACGGTGAGACTTGTCCCACTGCCAGGAACTACAACTTCTCATTAATGGGAAAGGATCCATATATACTTAAATTAATAGAGTAATTTATCATTAAAGGGCTCATGGAATCCAAATGATGCCAAATTATTGTTTTTTTAGACACTTCAGAGGATGTAGCTCCTTTTGTGTTCGGAAGTTCTATAAAGGATGCTAATTTACTGAAAGAGAAGTGGCTTAAAATCATCTCCTGACTTTGACCCCAATTTGTCCCAGGTGGGCAACAGGCACTCGAAAACAGTGGTCACAGATGTAAAGATCAACAAAGTCATTACCTTTGTCTAATGAGGAAGGCCTGGTGATTTGTGCCAGTTATGCTTATATAGATACAACAATTATTTTCCAAAAGTAAAATAGTGTATGTCTGCTCCCAAATAATCTTTCAAGTGAAAAATAAAACGGTGGAACTTAAAAATCCAGTTAGAGGAATACACTTTAGGAACAATATCACTTTAGGAACTATATCAGAATAGGATTTTTAAAAATAATGAACATACTGCACCCCTTTCCTTGAATCTGCAATTTTCAAGTTTCCACTGCAATAACCAAACCAAACCTGATTCAGTGACAGTACAGGAAAACTTTATAGAATGCAATTTCGGCAAGGTGGCCTAGAGTCGACATTTTCTTCAACACCCACTCACCCTATTACAATCACACATGGATCCATATCTCTGTGCTTTTGTTTTGATTACCTGCTCCAGTTCATAGGCCTTTGCCTTGTCCTCATCACGGTCTGCATTTTTCCGATATGCCAGGCCCAAACCCCACACAGCCAGGATGCTATACACATTATCTCGGACCCAGGCATCTTTCTGATCATAGCTGGCTGGAAGCAATCCTGTTACTGGATTCTGTAAGATCAATCAAGAGAGGACAGGCAGCTAATCTCAGAGTATTAAAGGAAACAATCTGTGGAATATTTTATTTGGAATATTTAGTCTTTCTCTTACTTCCCCATTCTTGAGTTTTAGAACTTCCTTTTCTTTTTACCAATTTCAGGCAGACATTATCCCCCAGCTTTACTGAATTATAACTGACAATAAAAATTATACATATTTACGGTATACAAGATGATAATTTGACACAAACATGAATGTATTGTAAAATGACTGGCACAATCAAGTTAATGCACCCATCCTCACACTTTGATACGGTGGGATTTACTCTCTCGGCAAGTTTCAAGTATATGGACTAGTCAGTGTACTGCTATTGCTAACCAGGGTTGCAGAACACACTCATTTTGTAACAGAAAGTTTGTTCTCTTTCCCCCTGCTGTCTTAAGACTAAGTAAAGAGCTGGCTGAAGGCTTACAAATCCAAAATGTGGGTATTATTAAAATAAAGGCATTACTAAAGGTATTATTAAAGGTAGTACTAAGAATTGCTAAAGCATTTTTAAAGAAAATGTAATTTTTGAGCTAAATTCAACTACTAATGAAGTAGAAAACTACATTCACAAATATATATAGAGTTAGGTGTGGTGCCTTAGGCCTAGAATTCCTTGTCTGGAGAGACTGAGGCAGGAAGACTTTTGTGCTACTACAAGGCCAGCCTGAGCTACATAGTGAGTTTCAGGCCATCATAGGGTACAGAGTAAAACTCTAGTTTCAAAACCAAACAACTCCAAAAAGTATATATTAGCCAAGTGCACTGGTGCAGACCTGTAATCCCAGCACTGAGGAGATGAAGCAGGAGGATGGATAGCTTGAGGTCAGCTTGGGCTACATGGTGAAAATATGCCTGGAACAAACAAAATAAAAACAACTTAGGAAATAAACAAACCTCACTGGTTTATATTCTGATATCCAAACTCAGGAGGCTATGGCAGGAGGGACCCAAATTCAAGGCCAGCCTAAGCCACTGATCAAAACTGTTTAAACAAAAGCATACACAAAGTG